GATGCATATCTGTATACCTAACCTTTAACTGTACCCCACAATTTTAAAATTAAAAAATGTTAAAAAGAAAGAAAGAAAGAAAGAAACTGTAACCAGGGTGCCAGATGACTTGGTTTGGATTTCAAACAAACTCTTCCTGATCCTCTCCATCACCTGACTCCAGCTAAAGACATCACGATGGGAATATTTCTGAACAAAAAGACCACTGACGAGATAAAGCAAATACCCCGGCCCTGCCAAGTTTTCAATTCAGTGGATCTTTAAAATAAACTGTGAATTAGCCATGATTGCCAAATGTTTGCTGTGTGCGGGTATTTAATGACCGGTCTTAGATTACCAGGAAGTGAAAATAACCAAACCTCAGACTTTGATTTAACTAGGAAGACCCCCAACTTCTTTTTACATCGCCTGCATCAAATGCATGTAAGACCAAATACAAACCATAATATATTGACACCAAGACTCCACACTTAGTTATTATACATTTATTTTTAACATAGCACCCCAGTTTCACATCACGTATATTTTCCAAAGTTGGAGAACTTACTATGTTCTTCACAGACTTTTCAACAAGTGTGAAAAAGAGGCAGTAAGGTTTAGCTTGAGTCTACAAGTCACAATCCAAATATAGGACACCCTATGTTTAAGGTCAATATACATAATGTTCTCAATGCTTGGCAAATGAATGAGCCTCTGGCTGAGCAAAATATTAACACAACTTGTTAGCATGTTAGTGTGAAAAGACAGAAGGCATCAAATATATACTTTGTTGTTACACTATGTACTGTTCAATGTACCTGTAGTGAAAAAATATACATTTTTTACTTTCAAGGTTAAAATAGACCATCAGCTCATTATCTCTCTTGGCCAATAGCTATGATGACTAAAATGTCTCTTCTTGCCTCTGGCTCACTTGGACATCTTATTTGTGCTGAAGACAAAATGGATGGCAGTGCTAAAGAAAAGAGTATACCTGGTTCCCAAGATAGGCGCAGTTGATGCTCTCACACAAGTTGACTTAAAACAAAAATAACACAACTCAGTTGATCCAATCTCTGTACACTGGAGTTACTGCGTCAGCTGTTCCAGTCCCAGGGCAGAGCTCCCTGAAGGAGAGTCCTATTGTCCAACAGAGTGCTTTAAGACGGAACTGGGACCTGAAGATTTCCTTACTGTAGTCCCCAAATGCCAATTTAAGCCCTCTTAAAGTCTTGTGTCCTCTGGTCTTCAGAGTCATAAACTCACTTTCTCCAACCTCCCACAGCCATGAAATTAGCTTACAGCAAAACAGAAGAATTTACAAAACATGGAAAATATGCATTCCCAATTATTGACAGCAGAGCAAGGCTTCTGTAACTAGAACAAGTCCTGTCTATTGAAACCTTGCGATGCCTCTTAGAAAAGATTCTTTTATCATCATGTGTGTTAGTAAATATAGATGATAACTATACAAACCTAAATGCAACTGTGTACTTGGGATGTCTTGATCACACTAACAGACTGGTTGTTTCAGGCATGCATGTAAGGCAGCCCCCAAGAGCCTATTTTGGAGAGGGCAAAACTTTTTAAATCTGCTTGCATTGCTTTTAAAATCTGGCCCTCTATGTCTGCTGCTCTTGCGGTTGCGTTTGGGAGGTTCACATAACCAGATGCATTTCTTCTTACAAACAAGCAAAGCAGGGTGGCTCACACAGTAATAGTCACATTCAAATTGCCATCAATGACTGATCTGTCGGTGTTGGTGGGCAACTTCCCTTAGCCTGTGCTGAGGAGGAGCAAGATATGTGGGCTGAGGACTCCAAAAACCCAAACCCCACTTCTTACTAGAAACTTGAACCACACTGAGTCAAGATGCAAAAACCCCTAACAAAGCACCCATGACTAAAGTATAAATTCAACTGACCCTTTGAAATCAGAGTTTTAAAAGAATACACTTGAAGCATAGTAAACCAGTAGGAAAGAAAAACCAAAGTTACTAGTGTTTTATTTAAACAAAAGTAAAAAGATCTCTTAACTATGATTTAATTTTGTTCACATTCATAATGTTCAAACCACAACCTACTGAGCCCTACTTGTCAATAATATGGAAGGATCTGGTTGCTATGATATGTGAAATTATTTTTTTATTTTTAAAATCACATTCCCTTGGTGATATCTAGTAAGAAGGTGTGATTCTAGTTTGTGTTGAGCAAATGTTTTTAGCTCTAAGGTGTTATACTGCAATTGAGATCTTTCTAACTACTGCTTAAAAGAAGACATTTGCAAATGCCTGTCTTAATATGCACACACACACACACACACACACACACACCAATTGCAGATATTACCATCTTGATCTTCTGAGTATGTATCTATTATTACCATAGCTATGAGATCATTTAAGAAACAAATACCATTTAGAAACAGACTAGAGAATCAAATCACATCTGAAGAGAAGACTGCTTCATGATAGTTCAGACACTGGTAGGAAATCAAAGGCAAATTCATGTTTTTGATTACTCACCCTAAAATATGCTGAAATTGAACATTTGCAACCCAAGAAACCAAAGATATATTGGAGAAAACTAGCTTACTACATATTGAGTTCATTTCAATCACAGTAGTCTATTTTAAAGACAAACTCCCATAAGGAACATAGGAATGAAATTCACTGAAAGCAACAGCTGTCAAAAGTTCTGCCAAGAAACTCATAGTAACTTATTGCATCATGAAAGGTGAGGTGTTCAGAAGAACAAATAGTTCAATAATATTTTTTCCTTTAGATTTGCTTTTTCTCTTCAATTCAAGAGAAATGTCTGGATCAAAAACTCCTTAAAATATGTTTTCATATTGAAAGACTCATTAATTAAGTCAATGAACTTCAACATGATAAATAGAAATCGGCAGAGGGTAGAGAATCTGACTCAGAATCTATAAAATAGGCTGGCATTCAAAATCTGCCACTAGTTACCTCTCTCTCTCCCTCTCCCCACTGCCCTTTTTCCTTTAGAGATGAGGTCTTATCCAAGTTGCCCAAGCTGGTCTTGAACTCCTGGGCTCAGGCAATCCCCTCACCTCTGTTCCCCAAAGTGCTGGGATTACAGGTGTGAGCCACCACATTCAGCCTACTAGTTACCTCTTTCTATGGATTCTTGGGGGCAGAAACTGCTTTCTTAGGGCCTTTTCCACAGGTACACTGCAGGCAATGGGTACCAGTCCTGCCCAGCTCTGATATCCTATTCTTCAGTGATGGTAAGATGGGCACAGCTTCCAGCTCAGTTGCCTCCTCTACCAGTCAGACCCAATAACTCATTTAAATTTGTAAAGCACTTAGATCCTTCCAACTAAGGCAAATACTGCCTTGATTGCAACATACACATCCATTCCAGATATCTAGTTTTTGGGTTTGCTTCAATGCCTGCTGAATAGGAAGGTGGCAAAAGCAACATACCACACACAAGAGGTGCTGAGGGACCCAATACACTTGCTATGAGCTCCTACTGTCCTCTTGTCTCTGGGGCTGTGGGATTCCAATGGGGGAAGACCACTTAACAACAAGGATTCAATCCACATGGATGGGGCAGTATTGACCTTCTGTCTACAGAATTCTCCTCAACAAGCAGGTCTAATTTTGGAGTTGTTTTATAGAAGAGATTTAATGGTGATTTCAATAACCCAGCCTTCCTATAAATCACATTAAAGGCTCACAGAAACATTATTAGACAGTATAATCCCAAATTAAAATTGCACATCCTAAAAAAACAAAGAAATAGAGGATGAACACTAGTTAGGTAATAATAATAACAGTAGTGTGTATGCACACACACAAATATTGTTTTTTAAAAATCTACTTCTAAGTAACTAATAAACTGTGGTCACAGTGAAGTCCAGCCAAGAGGGTTGGATATACAGATATTATTGGTATGTGCTTTAATGCAATGCCTATCTGAAAATATAGGTGAGACTATGAAATTCAGGGGGGGCTTTTGTGCAAGTTTTTTTTCTTTAGTGAAAACCAAGCCAACTAGACAAAACCCCAACCTCTTAATTTGGTTCACTCTGGCAGTGACTTCATGGGGAGAAAAAGCATGTTAATATTTTTAAATGAATAGCATAGACTAACATTCCTCAGTTTGTACATCTGGTTAATGGATATGACGTGCTAGCCCAAGTGAGAGCATATGTACTAGAAGATTATGAGATAAAGTGTATATGCTAGTGTTTCCTGGATTGGATATACCAAAAGCCAAACCTGCTGTGAAATGCCTGCAATAAGAATACTGCTGATAAAAGTTGTTGCAGTCTCCAGATCTCAGAACATGGGAAAAGAGGTTACCAAGAAATGTGTGATGACCCATCATTCATAATCTTAGGAAGGATTTCAACTCAATCTTAACCCTCCCCCCACAAGAACAAAAAAGGCAGCCAAAGGGGAAGAAACAAGGAAACAGAGAAATATTTCAAGTTTCATGATTTTGAAAATCAAATCAATTCAAAATCCTTAAATATGCATGGAATAGATTCAACAATTTGTTTTTCTTTAGAAAAACATCATCTGTTTGAGCCTTTCTCCTCTGCCATTAAGCTATTGATAAAGCTTGCCAATGGAAGAAGGAAGCATTAAATAAATGCCTACTTTTTCCAAAAGCTCTCAGCTTAATCCCACATATTGCACATCTATCCAAAACTGCGTCAGAAAGGACCCTAGGCACACCCCACCCTGCTATCCTAGGTATGGGAAAATTAGCCAAATGCACAAGAGATAGCATGCCTTGCCATTAGTCTCTCAAAGCAATGTTAAGGCAGGCATGCACTGTGAGGGTCAATGACCCTGTATTCCCACTTTCAACTTGGACTTTCAGGAGAAGTAGCAGCTACTTCAATTTCTATAGGATACTGGCTTCTGCAATTTGAGCTTATTGTTGTACACCACCTCCACTAGTTAGTTGGGCTCCTCTGAACCTGAAATAAACCAATCACTTCCCAAGGGCACACGTCACAGAGAACAAACTAGTCAGATATCCAACATGAGGACCTCTTTCTTCCATTATTTCTCCATACCCAATACATTTGTAATCCAGACTAAAATAAAGATGGAAATAACTTTCAAAGATTGTTGGTAACAACCATTTCTTCTTCTTCCCAAGTTTGGATACATGAGTTCAAACAAAAAATGTTTATCAATCTAAACAGTTCATCAGCCTTTCATATTTGATGAGTGGTTTTCAAACGCATGCATTTACAGATATGTCATCCCATGCAGGATAAAAGTAGAGATCTGGCAACTATTTATTTAATTTGATCAGGTGAGGCAGTTAGAGTAGATTGCTCTTGCCCAAAAATTTACATGAAAGGACTGAGTTATCTGGGTTGACGGCCTAGCTTGGCCAAGTTAAACAGCTCATTGTCAAAATCTCCACTTTACAGAGGTGTAAAGACCCAATAAGACTTTGACATTCAATAGAAAACAATAGTCATGTATTATTTATAACTAGATATAATATCAAAATGGCACTAGAGAAGCAATTTTTGGCATAAAGTGGTGGAGGGCACAGCGCCAGTCTAAATCTGATGTTTTCATTTTATTTTAGCTTTTGTTTTTATTATCATCATGCCAAAGACTATCCAGTTGGAATTCCAATTATTCAGGAAACCAACCTACTGTATGTGGTATACATACAAAAATAAAACAAGCATCCTGAAGGTACTTGGTTATAAGGTTTTGTACAAATTATAAATTCTTTAAGTAAATAATGCTCTAAATTATTTTTATTTGCTAGAAGATGATTTTTGGTAAGGAGCAGCATCTAACAACTTGAGGAAGTACTTGAGAATGGGAGATAAATTCCACTGATAATTACCATTTCAAATGTGATAATCAGTTGAAATATTTTTTCCACCATAGTAAAACACACAAGTGAAGTGCAAGAGAAAAGATCATATGGATTATATTCAGCTGCTCACAGCTTTTGACACAAACATCTATAACAAGTAGCTGGGTTCAAACATCCGAAAGGAAGATCTTGGCAGACAAGGTCACCCACTGTCACTTGAACCATGGGGGTCACAACACGGTGACTGGACGAAGTTGTTCCAATTGGTTTTCCAATGCAATTCGTTCTTGATGAACTTCCTGAGTTGTATAAAACAGAGAAAAGAAAAACAAAAGAGCAAAAAAGGTCATTTCCTAGATTTATCCCTACTCCATCAGATATTAAAAGACAACTCATAACTGGACTACAAACACAAGTGCTATATAAAGTGCTATATAATATAAGAGCAGGTGAACTGGAAGGTATCAGATCAATGCCCCCATACAGCTTATATTTAAATGACTAAAGAAAGATATAAAGTTAACAAGAAAGATACTTCCAGAAGGAAATAAATAACATGATATAATAGAGAGTAACAGAGGGAAAATCTAGGGGAAAGAGACAGGGACCCCCTTCTCAGAGGTGGCACTACTTGAGCAAAGACAAATAAAGTGAGGAGTGAGCCATATAAAGATATAGGGGAAGGATATTCAGGGAGACAAAATGGCAACTGCAAAGGCCTCAAGGGAGGGAACAAGCTTGGTGAATCTGATGAACAAAAAGGCCTGTGTGACCAGAGCAGAGGGAGCAAGGAAGACATTGACAGAAGATGAAGTCAGAGATTTAAGCAAGGAGATAGATCATACAGGCCTTGCAGGCCATGGAAGTATTGTGGACTTCATTCAATGTGTGTGCGTGGTGAAGGGAGGGGACAGCATGGAGGGCTTCTAATCAGAGAAGAAACATGACCCAATTTATAATTCAAAATTTCCACTCTGGCTACTATGTAGACAATGAACTATATGGCAGGGCAAGAGTGGAAGCAGAGGAACAATTGGGAGATGACTGCATGGGCCCAGGTGAGATATGAAAATGGCCTCAATCAAGGTAGAAGAAGCCATAAAAATGAAGAGAAGTAGATGAGTTCTGGATATATTTTGAATCTAGAACTGATAGAACTTGCTGACGAAGTCAATGTAGAAGAGAAGGAAAATTTGAGGATGATTCCTGGGATTTTTGAATTAAGAAAGTAGATAGCTGGTAGTGAGAACGAGAAGGCTAGATAAGAACTGAGTATTTCAAGGAGAGGGTTGAAAATAAATAAGCTGAGATATATGTATATTAGATATCTAAGGAAAAATGTTGATTAAGAAGTTATAGATGCACATGTAGAGCTCAGAGGAAAGAGAAGTAGGGCTTGAGACATATATTCAGGTTTCACTAGTTTAGGCTGGTCTTCAAAGTCATGGGACTATATAACACCACCTAGCAAAAGAATATAGACAGAGGTCTCAGGTCATGATGGAAGACTGACCATAAGTACCATACTCACTCCCTCCTGAAGCTCCACTAAAACAATAAGAGAACTTCTCAAAGTCATCAGCCCACAAGACAGGGAAAGCAAAAAGGAAGAGATGATAGCATAACATTTGTAAGCTGAACAGCAAATGATGAATAGTAAATGAGTTAGCAAATCTAGGAAAATAAATATGTGGATTCTGCGAGCTCCTGAGAATATCTACTCCAAGTATGCATTCCAGAGCTTCCAGAGCCAGAGAAGTAACCACAGGGTGGGTCTGGGAACCCAATGTGAGACAGACCTAAGTGCAAACTCCATTCATCACCTGACTTCCATAAGCCCCAGACTGATGGGCCACAGAGACACTTTGCATCTCCTGAAATTAGTGTTAGCTGCTAATTTCCCTTCTCCCATTGCACAGACATCCTGGTAAATGGCCACAGGTCCCCTTAGGAAAAGTCAGGAGAAAGATTTACAGTATAAATTTTGGCTATATAGTGGGGCCCTTCCCTAAGGAGACCTAGATGCCCTGTCATCATTCAAGGAATTCTGGATCTGTAATCTGGCTTAGACTGGGAATTAAGTGAGGGGCCATGACTAGTAAAGGAAACTGAATCACAAGATAAGCATGAAGAAAAACAAGAACCAATCTGATTTTATATAGGAGAATCCCTAGAAGACTCAAACTGACAGCACAAGATACCTGTGAAAATGGAAATGAATAAGAGGAAGGAGACTAGCTAAAATAAGTGTTGGTTGAAAATCTATTTCAGAAGCAATTAGGTCCCTAGATCTTTCCTGTCACCAGAGCAGAATGATGAAGATTTATTTCTTGAAAAGGTAAAACAGAGAGCTTGTGGGTTAGTAAGAAACAGGCATGGTTGAGGACAAGACACAGGGCTGGAAATAGGGAGAGTAAATGGATATCCTGGATGCGAAGACCCACAGCCCTCTTACCCAATTGAACCCACTCTTTTCCTCTATGCAGGTGACCAAAAGAGTCTACTCTGGGGACTCCAACCAGACCAAGAAGAAAGAGCTAATCGTTCTGCTTGTGGATGTTTCCCAACTATACCGCCTAGCCAGATTGTCAGAGAGGGAAGCTCAAAGTTGACAAGACCTCTAACATGCCATGAACTTCCAATCAATGTTTTCATTCTCCTCTTAAATATGAGCAAAGAAGGGCATTTACAAGGAAACATACATAACACACACACAACACACAAACACACACACACACACACACACACACACACACAAATGCAACTAGTCAGTAAGAAGAAGAAACTACCACTAAGAGAAGACACATTTTAAAAAAGTTATTCCATTATCAATAGTGCACTGCTTATATACAGGAATATGACTGAATTTTTGTAAGTTGACCTTGTATTCTGTGATCTTTATAAATTCAATTTGGAAATGAAAATTTTAAAAACCAATTGAGCTGTGACTCAGCCTATAATCCCAGCACTTTGGGAGGCCAAGGCAAGAGGATTGCCTAAGCCCAGGGGTTCGAGATCAGCCTGGGCAATTTGGTGAGACCTCATCTCTACAATAAATTAAAAAATTAGCCAGGCATGGTAGTGTATGCCTGTAGTTCCAGCTACTTGGAAGGCTGAAGCGGAAGGATTGCCTAAGCCCAGCAGGTCAAGGCTGAGTATGCCCCTGCACTCCAGCCTGGGCGACGGAGTGAGACTCCAACTCAAAAAAATGAAAAATAAATACCAATTTGCAATAGTGTAATAAAAAACATTTGGGAATACATTTAACAAAAGATATATAAAACCTAGTCAAAACTCAGAACTGCTGAGAGGAATTTTAGAAGACCTAAATAGTAGTAGAGATGTACTTCGCTTGCAGCTTGGTATACTCAATGTTGTTTAGATGTCAATTCTCTCTAAACTGATCTATAAATTTCATGCAAATCCAATCATAATCCTAGCAGGTTACTTTGTAAAAATTGACACACTGGCCAGGTGCAGTAGCACAAGCCTATAATCCCAGCACTTTTGGAGGCTGAGATGAGTGGATTGTCTGAGCCCATGGGTTCGAGAACAACTTAGGCAAATTGGCGAGACCTCATCTCTACAATAAATCAAAACATTAGCCGGGCACGGTAGCGTGCATCTATAGTTCCGGTTACTAGGAAGGCTCAGGCAGAAGGATCGCCTGGGCCCAGCGGGTCAATGCTGGGGTGGCCATGAGTGTCCTACTGTACTCCATTTTGGGCAACAGAGTGAGACTCCAACTCAAAAAAAAAAAAAATGGCACACCAAGTCTAAAATGTATATGAAACAAAAGTCCTACAATATCTGATAGAATATTGTAAAAAGAAGAATAGGTTGGAAAAAAATATGTTACCTGATATCAAGACTTACTATAAGGCAACACTAATCAAAACTGTGCAATATTGGCATAAGGATCAGTAAATAGTTTAATGGAACAGAATAAGAACCCAAAAATAAACCTAAACTTATACAGTTATTAGATTTTTGACAAGAACACCAAAGTAATCAAAGAGAGAAAAGAAGATCTTTTCAACAAATTATGCTGGATTAACTAGATATTGAAATAGGAAAAAATGAACCTTGACTCTAATCTTGTAAAATACACAAAAACTTAATTCAAGATGAATCATAATCCTAAATGTAAAAGTTAAAACAATGAAGCTTTAAGAAGAAAACATAAGAGAAAATATCTTCATAATTTCAGGATAGGCAAAGTCTCCATAAACAGGAAGAAAGTAATAACTGTAAAAGAAAAAATGATAAATTTAGATTTTATCAAAATTAAAATCTTCTGCTCATGAAAAGATACAATTAAGAAAATAAGTAGACAAAACAAAGTCTGTAAGAAAACATTCACAAAGCATATATCTGGCAAATGACTGGTAACTAAGATATGTAAATAGCATCTACCTATAATTCAACACCAAAACAAAGACTAAAAACTCAATTTAAAAACTGGCCAAAACATTTGAAAAGATACTTTATAAAGTAAGATATATGAAAGGTAAATAATCACAAAGAAAAGTGATCAACATACTTAGTCATCAAGGAGATGATCATAAATACTACATCATCACAGGACTGGCTAAAATTAAAATGAATAATAACACCAAATGTTGGCCCCAAAAAAGTAGAACAACTGGAGGGAGTTAGTGGTGGGAGAGCAGAATGCTGCAACCACTTTGGGGAAAAGGTCTAGCAGTTTCTCATAAACTAACCACATACACCTTCCATAGTATCTATTAATCCTAATCCTAGGTATTTATCCAAGATAAATGAGAATATATTTCTACACAAAGACATACTCAAAATGCAGTTTTATTCAAAATTGCCAAAATTTGGAAATAGCTCAGGTATACATCAAGAGAACTGATAACCACATTTTGACATATTCACTCAATGAAATATTACTCAGCAATAAAAAAGAGTGAATTACTGATATAAGCAACAACAGAAATGAATCACAAAAACATAATACTAATTGAAAAAATCTTTACACAAAAGTATATGTTGTAGGATACCACTTCCATAAACTTACAGAACAGGCAAAACTATGGTATAAAAAATTTTAGAGCAGTGGTTGCCTCCGTTTGGTTAGAGAAGGAATTGACTGACAAAAAGCAAGAGGGAGCTTCCTGGAGTGATGGTAATGTTCTCTATCCTGACAGGGGTTTAGGTTCCATAAGTATTTGCATTTGTTACAAACTCAGCAAATATACACTTAAAATTTGTCCATTCATTATATATACATTTTACATCATAAGAAAAACCTGTAAAATACTGAACTCTAGCTAATGATATACTTGCTGAAATGTTTAGTTAAAGTGTATAAATGTCTGCAATTTACTCAAAAATATGTCAAAAACAAGACGGACTGATGGGCATGAAGATAGATAAATGGATAGACATGTAATAAAACAAGCATAGTAAAATGTTAGTGGTAGAACTGAAGTGGCATCTATATAAGTAGTCATGTATGATTCTTTCAACTTTCCTGTATGTTTGAAAATGTAAGATATTGGGGCAAATGAGGTAGAGGTATAAAAGAGAAGTCAAGGAAGGAAGAGATTGCAGAAAGCACTAAAGAAGAAGCACCAGTGAGGCAGAAGGAAAACCAGAAAAGTAAGGTATCTCAAAAACCAGTTAGAAAAGCCATTTCAGAGGAAGGAATGGCCGATTGTGTAGAATTCCTCTGAAAATTCTAATAATATGACCTTATATGCAAATAGACTATTTGTAGCTATAAACACGTTAAGATGATGTCATGCTAGATAAGTGTGGTCCCTAATCCAATGATTGGTGTCCTTATAAATGTTTGCAATTTACTTAAAAGGAGGATACAATAAGAAGGGGAATTTGGATACAGACACAGAGAGATACAGGAAGATACTGTCACTGTTATGTGACAGTGAAGGCAGAGACTGGAATGAAGCAACATAAGCTAAGGAATGCCAAGGATTGTCAGCAACTGCCACAAGCTGGGAAGAGATAAGGAAGGATTCTCTCCTAGAGCCTTCCAAGAGAATATGGCTCTACGGATACCTTGATTTCAGAGTTCTAGCCTCCAGAGCCAAGTGACAATAAATTTTGTTATTTTAAGCCACCACATTTGTAGTACTTTGTTATAGTACACTAACACAGGGGAGATTAATGATGAAGAAAGACAGGTGATAAGGATGGGAGTGATGTCCTTGAGAGGGTGAAATGGAGCCATTTCCAAGGTACCAGGGGAGGGGCTGGCCTTTGACAGTACCAGGGCCATTTCCTTCCACTGAAGTAAGTATAGTTTCTTTCAGAGAAGATACAAACAATTAAGGGCTTACTCAGATGCTTTGAACCATAAAGAATGCTTCAAACAGCCTTTGCAATAGATACATGTAATATGTACAATATTACATATCAGTTAAAGAAAATAAATTTTTAAAAGCCTAGTAATCCAAACCTGGGAAGCATTCCTCACCTTGAGCTGCTGCTGGAGTTCACTGTTCAACCGGGCCAGCACTGCGTTTGCCTCTTTATTTTTGCGGATAGCAGTTTGAATGGCTTTCTTCTGTTTGGAAGACTGCCTATAGAAAAGTACAAACATTTCAGTGATAAAGGACTTAGAGGTCTGGACTCCTGTGGGTCAGAACTCCAATTCATGAGGGGTGCTAAACTAACAAGGGGTTAACATCACAGGGTTCCAAAAATAAAATCGCATGTTGGCAGGCAGGCAGGCAGGCAGGCAGGCAGGCAGGCAGGCAGGCAGACGGGCGGGCAGGCAGGCAAGCAGATATACACCAAATGAAACAAATTTGTCGGGATGAATTATTTACACCTGAAGTAATTCCCACTTTATAACTCAAATAAAAGCTGTGAATTGGGCCTTTTCAAACATTTGCATTCCATTTATTCCAAGACATTTTAATAAGTATTTCTTCCTGACAAATCATATTAACAGGAATGCCCTTTTTGTGTAAGAATTAATAGCATTTAAAAGACCTGCAGGTGGCCCCTCTGGATAAATTTGAAGGAAAAAAAGCACATTTTCTTTAGCAAAAATGCTACATTAACTTAGACTACTTAACTCTCCCTTAATTCTTTATTATCAGGCATGAATGCCTAAGTATGTGTGTGTGCACATGTGTGCATGCATGTGTACACACAAGCATATATGTGTGGCACTTGAGAAAAATACAGAATGTTTTAATACCAGTATTTCCCAATTAACAGTAAACTTACAGAACAAGTGTAATGAGGGTGACTACTTTGTCCATTACAGTCTTTTTTTACACTGTTTGTCCAGCCATAAGTATTACTAGCACCCTTTTTTCCTTCAAAAATATCCATGGTTGGGATGAATATGCAGGGTGTTGTCAGTGGAAGTCTAGTATGAAGTCTGAATTATGACTTCCATTCAGTAGTAATGAAGTATTTCCTCCAGCTCCAAGGGTGTACTCTACAACCTTTTATCCCATAGCAAGAAATACCCAAATTCTTAAGGCAAAAAAGCAATTTACATTCTCCTAGAAAAACAATCATATTTGTAATCACTGAGAGATGGGTTCTAAGGACAGAGCAACTGATCTAGACTGGACTGTGACCACTATACATATCTGATTAATATTTACCAAGAATATACACTATGCTAGCCATTCCACTAACCTGTGGAATACACAATCTTTTTCCCAGCAAGTTCAAAATTAAAGATTAATTTTTCACCCATATAAAAGTAGGGGAGAGACATCAACATCTGCTTTTAAAAAATAAAGATTGGATTTCTGATTCCAGGACTAGATGGAGTAGACACACTTCTCTCTATTCATCCCACTAAGTACAGTTAGTACTGTGAACATAATATATAAAACAAACATAAGACAACTCTGAAAGATGAAGACGGTAAACCATCTAGGAAACTCAATATCCAGGGAAACTCATGGCAGTGGGTTCCCTGGGTTTTCTTTTGCTTCATATAAGGCAGGACCCCAAAAAACTTGAATATCTTTATAAAAAATTGTGTATTCATTCTTACATGCTTAAACTTCAGTCACCTTCAAAGTACTCTTTGTTTGATGCAATATACCTATCAAGACACTTTTTTCCACTGCTCAAAACAATTGAACTTGTCAATTTTGATGCCTTTTAGTGCTTCTGCCATTTTTTGTTTCATCTCTTCCACATCAGCAAAACGTTTCTATTTGAGGACTTTTTTCATCCAGGAAACAAACAAACAAAAAAAGTCATTCGGGGTGAGATCAGGTGACTAGGGAGGGTGGAGCATGGGGTCATGCTGTTTTTGGTCAAAAACTTCTGAACACTCAGCGCAGTGTGAGCAGGTACATTGTAATGGTGAAAGGACCAGTCACTTGTTTGCCACAACTCAGGATTTTTTTTTTCTGCCAATTGTGACGCAACCTTTTAAAAACATGCAGACAAAAACTTTGGTTGACCATTTGATCCAGAGGAACAAATTCTAAATGTACTACAAGGTACCCCCCCCAAAAGATAATTCCAGCTCTTTTGGGGTCCCTTCTCATACATCCCAGACTGGGTACTAGAGAAGTCAACAATCCATAAATGCCAATGAGGGAGGACAAAAATAAAGCCCCTTCCCTACCAAATTCTGCTCTCTCTAGCCAGAGGATATGAGAAAGAGGAGCTAAGTAATACTGAAAACTTTGAGACAATAACTACCCTACTATTCCCAAACACTGCAAAAAACAATTGTGGCCTGAACCCTATCCCCATCAGCCAATGCTAAATGGGAAGCCTAGACCTCTGCCAACAGGAACCCCTAACAAGGCATGCCCTTTTTACCAGGGTGGTGTCACTGAACACCAAGTAGGATGCCAGCACTTTTACTACCTTCCAGTGGAAAAGGGGCCTCTTCTCACCGTGGTGCTTGAGGAGCAGTAACCAAACACCTCACTCCATCTTAGCCAGGGTGGTGTCAGTGGAAGCCTAGTATGAAGCCTGGATAATCACCTCCACTCAGTAGTAATTAGGTATTCCTCCATCCTCCAAAGGTGTAAATAGGGGCCAAGTAGAGAAACTGGACTTCCATCCCTACCTGGCAAAAACCAGGTAGCATCCCTCTTCCCTACTGGTTAGAAGAGTCATGCTTAAACTGAAGATTTAAATAAGATCCAAAGTTTTGTAACATAATATCCAAAGTGTCTAGGATACAATAAAAAAAATTCATCATACAAAAAAAAAAAAACCCCACCTCAACTTGAATGAAAAGACACAAGCAAGAGAAGCCAACACTTAGACACAGATGTGGAATTACCTATCTAGGACTTTAATTCAGCCATTATAAAAATGCTTCAATGAGCCGGGCTCGGTGGCTCAGCCTGTAATCCTGCGCCTTTGGGAGGCTGAGGTGAGTGGATTGCCTGAGCCTGTGGGTTCGAGACCCGCCTGGGCAGCGAGACCTCATCTCTACAATAAATCAAAAAATCAGCCGGGTGTGGTAGCGCATGCCTGTAATTCTGGCTACTCAGAAGGCTGAGGCGGAAGGATCGCCGGAGTCCAGCAGGTCGAGGCTGCGGTGGCCGGGAGCAGCCACTGCACTCCAGTCTGGGCGACAGAGTGAGAAGCCAACTCAAAAAGAAAAAAAAAATGCTTCAATGGACAATTATAAGCACACAAAACAAATGAAAAAAACAGAAAATCTCAGCAAAGAAGTAGAAAATATGAAGAAGAAAGCAGAAATTTTAAAACTGAAAAATACAATGAAATTTTAAACACTTAATGAACAGGCTTAATAGAAGAATGGAGAGGACAGAATCAGTGAACCTGAATATAAAAATTATCCAGTTTGAACAACAGAGAGAAAATAGACTGAAAAAAAGAAAACTGAACAAAGCCTTAATGACCTGCAGTATTATAGGATCCAATATTTGTCTCACTAGGAGTTCCAGAAAGAGAAGAAAAAGGGAGAGTACATTTAAATAAATAATAGCTGAAAAAAATTTCCAAATTTGGCAACAGACATAAAGCTAGAGATTCAAGAAGCTAAACAAAACTCAAGCAGGATAAATTATAGTCAAACTTCTAAAAATAGACATTTTCAGATGAAGGAAAACTATGGGAATACGAAACCCTAAAAAATGGCTAAAGGATATCCTTAAAACAGAAAAAAAGTGATATAGAAATCTTGGAAAATGAGGAAGGAAGAAAGAACAACAAAAAAAGTAAATGTGTGAGTAAATACAATAAGGCTTTCCCTCTCCTCAAGTATCCTAAAATTTGAAAATTTAAATGAAATGGAACAACTCCTTCAAAAGCATAAATGACCACAACCCACTCAGTATGAAATAGATAACTTCATATTGGTTTTTAAAATTTAATGAAATTTTCAAATTTCATAATAATTTGTAATTACCAAAAAAACCCTCCCAAAATAAATCTCTAAGCCCAGATGGCTTCACTGGAGAATTCTGCTAAATTTTTAAAGAAGAAATAATGCCAATTCTATACAATATTATCCAAAAAATAGAATACTTCTCAGCTCATTTTATGAGGTAATTATTATTCTGATAGCAAAACTAGACAAAGATAGTACAAAAAAGGAAATTGGACACAATATTCCTTGTGAATACAGATACAAAAATCTCTAACAAAATATTAGCAAATAAAATTCAACAATATATAAAAAGTATATACCATGACCAAGAGGAGTTCATTCCAGGGATGCTAGATTGAAGAAAAGAAAAGAAAAAGAGCCTTGACCTAAATCTCCACCTTATACAAAAATTAACACAAGGCTGGGCTCGGTTGGCTCAGCCTGTAATCTCACGCCTTGGGAGGCCGAGGTGAGTGAATTGCCTGAGCCCGTGAGTTGGAGACCCGCCCGGGCAACTTGGCGAGACCTCATCTCTACAATAAATCAAATATTAGCTGGGCGTGGTAGCATGCGCCTGTAGTTCCAGCTACTTGGAAGGCTGAGGCAGAAGGATCACCAGAGCCCAGCAGGTTGAGGCTGCAGTGGCCGGGAGCGGCCACTGCACTCCAGTCTTTGGTGACAAAGTGAGACTCCAACTCAAAATAATAATAATAATAATAATAACACAAAATGGATTACGGACTTAAATGTAAAGTGTAAAACTATAAAACTTTTAGAAGAAAACATCAAAGGAAATCTTCAGGACTTCGGAAAGAGGGTAGATCTGATACTAAGAGCACAATCCACAAAAGAAAAAGAAGTCAATAAATTGGAGTTCATCAAATTTTTAAAACTTTTGCTCCACAAAAAGCAAGTTACTAAGAGAAATTATCTGCAAACCATAGATCTGACAATGGATTTGTATTTAGAATACAGAAAAAAACTCTCAAAAACACAAGAGTAAAAAAACCAATTTAATCAAAGGATATGAAGAGATATGTCATTGACGAGGAAATGACAAATATACTCATGAAAAGATGTTCAATACTGCTAGCCATTAGGGAAATGTAAATTAAGAGTACAATGAGATAGCACTATCTATTAAAACAGCTAAAATTTTTAAAGTGACAATACCAAATGCTGGCAAGGATGTATAGAAACTGAATCTCTCATACACTGCTGGTGGGAATGTAAAATGGTTACAGCCATTCTGGAAAATAACTTGGCAGTTTCTTTACAAACTAAAACATACTGTTAGCACACAACCTAGTAATTCCACTCCTGGACATTCATCTCAGAGAAATAAAAACTCGTGTACATGCAAGAACCTGTACACAGATGTTTACAGCAGCTTTATTTGTAATACACAACTAGACACAGCCAAAATATCCCTCAAAAGGCGAGCAGCTAAACAGACTGTGGTATATCCATGCCATAAATTGATAGATGTAACCACTTAGATGGAAGTCAAGGGCATTATGCTAAGTGAAAAAAGTCATGCCACATGCTGTATGATTCTATTTACATAACATTCTCAAAAATGACAAAATATAGAGATGGAAAACAAATCAGTGGTTGCAGAGGTTTGGAATGGTGGGGAGAAGCAGGTAGGTGCGACTTCTGTATCTTTATTACAGTGGTGGTTACAAGTATCTACACATATGATAAAATGTGTTAAAACAGCATAGAACTATACACATATACTGTCCCAGTGTCAGTGTCCTGGTTTTGCTACTATGCTACAGTCAGGTAAAATGTAATCACTGGAAGAAACTAGGTAAAAAAATACACAAGACTTGTTAGTGCTATTTTTGTAACTTTCTGTGAATCTATTATTATTTCAAAATAAAAAGTAAAAACAAATGTAGATCAGAACTGGATGCCTCTTATCCTTAAACTACCATCATGCTATGTGTGCCAGCTTATAACTGTTTACTCCTCTGAGAACTGTCTCCATCCCCTTGCCCCTCCTGTACAGGAATGAACCCCTGGCAGTCCTGTTGGTCTTATGAAACCCCCGTCTCCATTTTCACACTTGAATGGATGCTGGCCCATGCTGAGTTGACCAGATTCTCTCTCCCGTGTATGGGCATTATGACTAACAGTTTCATTCAGTCTGGGCCCTGCACAGCAAGAATGTGATTGCTGCAGCTGAAAATGGAAGGCGTTTTCACAAAGAAAAATGACAAATACACTCTAAGAAAAGAAAGAAGAATCAGAAAGAGCCCAAAAAGGTGTGCAAGTTCTCTCTTCTGACCCATTCCTGCCATTGGTTTCCACGAACTGACCCAATCTCCTTATAATGAAGAATATAGTCTTGCTACCTCAAGTTGATTTTTATTATCTGCAAACAAAGCTTCCCTAAATAATGCAAGTATAGTATCAGGCCTAAATTCAGATACCAGTGTCAGACCCAGAACACCTCTCGAGGGTTTAACTTGCCTTACCTTCTTCAGAGTTGCCTCTAGAGTTTGCCCCCTCAAGTTCTCCTAACTTTTCACCCAGTGTTTCAGGCTAGGCTACAACCAGCCTGGTTTCCGAGGAGGAAAATGAGGAAGTAACAGGTAAGCAGATATTTATTTTGCCCAATTCCATTGTGTGTCACGCTATCTGTTGAACAAGAACTGCAGCACTATGAGGCACTGTCCATGCAAGGTTTGGGGGCAGAGTATCCCCCAAAGCTGATCCTTGTGCCTTCTTAGTTTTAGTAACCTATCACCCTCAGTTTAAGTTGGGCACATGGTCACCCAACTAGAAACCACTTTTCTGTCTCCCTTGCAGGTAAGACCATACGATTAAGTTTTGGACCAATGGGGTCAGAAAGAAGTGATATGTGCCACTTCTGAGTCCTGCCCTTAAAAATAAAGTTTTCTCTCTGTTTGGTCTTTCCTCCTTCTTGTAGCCTGGAACATGGACGTGGTAGTGGTGAGCCATCTTCAACCACATGGATACAGGCAACACTCAAGGGGACCTAGAACAATAAAACAGAAGGCACCTAGGTTCCTGGACAGAGACACTCTACCTTTCTGGACCACTCACCAACTCAGACTTTTACATAAGAAAGAAATCAACTTCTATGGTGGTTGAGCCAATGTTAATTTGTTCAAGAAGCTGAACCAATATTTTATGGAGTATAAGCTGGGGTCTCTAGATGAGAAAAATCTTTAGCCTTCATCCTGAGTCCTGATTTCTCCTAAAGGAATTCTGAGTGCAGTTTCTAACAACTGAAATTATATTGCCTTTTATCTACTTGGAAATGGTAGGTTTTCCCCCCAAGGATGCCAGTCCTCAATCCACAGACATTCCAGTACCACTAAATATGAGGAGGGAAGGGAGAAAAAGCTGCAACTGCATTGAATGCACCATACAAGCAATCAAACGCTGCCATACTAGCTGTAGGAAATGCCCCAGAGTTGTTCAGGACACCTCCTGGGGTTACAGAAAAAATCAGAGACCACAAAGGTTGTCACAGGCTCGGTCATAGTACTATCACATAACATCCTGTATCTTCAAACTCCTCAAACAATCCTATTTTCCAAAAGTCCATCCTTAGCAAATACACAAGACATAAAAAAAGACTAAGCCAAATTTTTTCTAAGAAAAATTCACTTTTATCCTTATAAATGATGACCCAATCTGAAATCTGTTTATTACTCATAACTTGGACTCAGCAGTTCACTTGGAGACAAAAATGTTATTAGTTTATTTGTGCTAAATGAAATAGGCAGTGATAATAGCTAAAGCCAAATTTGTTTCTTTTTTTCTTTTCTTTTCTTTTTTTTTTTTTTTTTTTTGGCGCCTAGGCTGGAGTGCAGTGGCACGCTCACAGCCACCCCCAGCATCGACCTACTGGGCTCAGGTGATCCTTCTGCCTCAGCCTTCCATGTAGCCGGAACTACAGGCATGTGCTTCCACACTTGGCTAATTTTTTTATTTATTCTAGAGAAGAGGCCTCACCAAGTTGCCCACGTTGGTCTCAAACCTCTGGGCTCAGGAAATCCTCTCTCCTCGGTCTCCCAAAGTGCTGGGATTACAGGATTGAGTCACCACATCCGGCCCAAATTTGTTTCTTATAGCATGGCAATTCTGATGTTAATTATCCCAAGAGCTGATGACCATTTTGCAGTGGCTCTGTTTTTTTTTTTTATAACCTTTCTCAATTGGTGTTCTGTTAGAGAACTAAGCCCTACAGCAAATGATTTGTGACACTTTTCTTAATTTTCCCAAAGATGATACGTAGCAACTGACACTCTAGATGTATAGGAGAGAGGTTATACTACAAATGATGACCGTCCAAGGGCATCAGAGCTTAATTCTGTCCTAGAACCTTAGCTGAGAAAGGGCTACACAGATATTCTCCCTCTCCCTCTCTCTTGCGCGTGCCCACTTAAAAAATTATGAATGCTAAGTCATTATCACTCCAAAATAAATGGTCTAAGAACTAAAATAAGAAGTTGTATGAAGTTCCCTGACCACAAAGCTGAGATTTCTGCCATATACTTACTAACTGTGCTTCTGGCAGGCACTAACTTCTCTCAGCCAAACACCATGTGGTCACCCCACTAGATCTGCATGTGCCCATTCTGTGTAGAGATAATCGACAACAGAAACTCTTTAGTGAGATCACAGACCACATCTATAGAAAATTGGGTCTGTGGGTCATGGAGCTAGCCATGCCCCAGGGGTACATGAGATGAGACAGTCAGAGAGGGAAAACTGCCACTTACAGTACTATTTTCTTCCTTGTAAGATTGTGGCCAGCACAAGAAAGAGTGATAGGAAGAAAAGGAAGGTGGGAGGAAGAGAAGGAAATCAAACCAAATCAAAACACAACCTAGGACTCATCTGTCCCTTTAGGTCAGGTTAAGTCCTATGGCTTATAAAGCCTCCCATGTGACTGGGAGACTTACATCCCACCACAGTGATGAGTAAGGTAAGACTCATAACCATGAAATCCTTCTGGTGGGTGTGCATGCAAATTTAAACACATTTACACATGTATATACATGCAGATTTAAAAGGAAGTTTTTGACCTAGCTCTCAATGATCTGTTCTACTTACTTTTGAACTGTTGGATGGGGTTTCACGGTTGCCACAGAAGCTGGCCCACTTACAGTGGTGGAAGACTCTTGGTTTTCTGTAGCTTGATTTTCAGGTCTGAATTTCCTACGAATGGGCTTTGATGGGGGCTGAGAATATGGTATGTCCTGTGGATTAAAAACAAAAATCAAAAAGTCAAAAACGTAAATGCTACCCCTACCCATCCTGCCAGTATCCCACATTCCTCTAGCCCTATCCCCAAGATCAGGTAGGTACTCTAGCCACTGATAGTGACTCAGCAAGAACTGGAGGAACACAGGTATCAGATTCCAGCAGTCTGTCTTTCTTTCTTTTTCTTTTTCTTTCTTTCTTTCTTTCTTTCTTTCTTTCTTTCTTTTTTTCTTTCTTTCTTTCTTTCTTTTTCTTTCTTTCTTTCTTTCTTTTTCTTTTCTTTCTCTTCTTCCTTCCTTCCTTCCTTTCTTTCTTTCTCTTTCTTTCTTCCCTCCTTCCTTCCTCCTTCCTTCCTTTTTTTTTATTAATCATATTAATCAGTATTTTTTATTATGGTTTTGTGGGGTACAGTTAAGGGTTAGGTGTACAATTACGTTTCATTCAGGCACCCTGTTGATAAGAGGTGTTTTCCAATCCCCAGACAGATATTTGCTACTGTTAATCCCATCCCCCTCCCCCCCCTAGTTTCCCAGTACCGTCAGTCATTTTCTTATAGTTTTACATTGG